GGGGTGGAGGGAGGGGGTAACTATGGACTGAAACCGGGGGAGGAGAGGGGAACCCTCCCGGCCGACCCTCATCCCCAGAGGAGCCACCAGAGCTTGGAGAGGACCACCCCTCCACCCCCCAAATGGGCCCACGCAACATCAACGGCGCGGCTCTGGGTCCGCCGATGCACCGACAACGTGGGCGCGAGGTGAAGCATCCGGGCTCAAACGAGCAGGCGCGTGGGAGTGCCGGCACGTGCTCCTGAAGCGGGGGGGGAGATCCACTCCGGCGGCCACACCAGGTTGGAGGTGAGCATAGTGCTCACGAAGGTGCCTACCGTCAGAGCAGCAGCAGCTCTGAGGGCAGACAGGATGCCTTCTATATCCATACCTCAAGCAGGTAAAGTCACCAGGCCCAGGAAAAACAGGAGCACAGAGGCAGGGAAGTTGTTTGCTGGCCAGAATCCCAAAAGGCACTTGTGAAGAAAATAGACTTAGTTCGGTATTTTCTCCTATGTTCTGGGTTTTTCTGCAGTATTTTGTGCATGTTGAATCTATTGGTTCGGTAGTTTAAAACTACTGAACACCGACCACCCTCCTGGCTCATTAACTTCAAAAGAACCATCTATTAAGCACTCTCTGGGCGGCCCCTGTTCGTATAGCCGAATGCCACATGGAACAGAAAACGGCAGCCATCTTGTTTGCACGAAAGGAGGCAACAGGACTTGGTCGTCGAGTGTCTGCAACTAAAATCGGACACTCGACCTCCCGAAATTTGGATATGTTGGTCCCCCAGATCAGGGCTATCAGGGGATATGTAATTTGTGGGGATACCTTGTGTGGAAAGGGGTGTTCTAACTTTTGGGGAAACTGTGTGCCCTCTGCCTGGAGATAATTGGGTTATTAACTTATCTCAATATATCCGAGGCAGAGAGAGGGTGGGGGTTACTGTAAAGCTGTATGTTGATTGGCTATTGTCTTTGTTTACTGTGGGAGGTTCTCCTGCAAGAGAATTTCTCATAAAAGCCAGTGTGTCATCAATAAATGTCATTCCTGTTACACCCTTCATGAAGTCTAGGCTCATGTTTGGGGAATATTCTATTTGCTGGGGAGAATCATCTTGGAAGCTGCATTCATCTACACTATTCCTCTACCTCCTACTGCAGTTATAATCACTTATGCTCAGCTATTGGGGAAGGAATAGAAGACCGCAGTACCATAACCACTGCAGGTCTTAACAGCACTGAGGTAAGATGATCCCTGCACCACTCCAAAACCATAACCACTCCCCTACACACATAACGCCAATCACCAGCACCATCCCCACACTCATACATGTGCCCTTGTCCATTTAGCTGTGCTTACTCCCCAGGGCCCAATTAATTGCAGCTGAGCAATGGGTTGGAGACAGCCTGAATTCTTGGCCTGGACCTTATGTCTCCCAGTTACTTGTAAACTGAGGAGTGAGGCAATGGCCCGGCCTACTCTCCAAATGCTCCACCACAGGGATCCATCTCTAAACAGTATTTTATCTTGCATACCACACATTCTCCCCCTGGGGTTAAATGCCATATGCTTCTCTAGAAATCTAGGGGAAATATACACTCCTTCACTGATCACACCCTGCATGTTATCACAATATGTTGAAGTGTCTGTGTAATGGGGTGAAGTATGTACTCAATGTGTTTAGGGTTGAAGTGTGTACTCGAGTGAAGATATTATGTGTGGGATGAAGTGTGTGGGGGTGTACTACATGTGTATGGGAGGTGTACTCTCTGTGGGTGTGAGAGTACTGCATGTGGGGGGTTCACTGTCTGTGATGGTGTACTGTGTGTAGGGGGGTGTAGGAAGTGGGATAGGGAGGGGATTTACTTTATTTACTTTAATAATAATATTTTTTTTAATTCAAATGTTCTTGTTCTTGCAGGGAGTGGCTGGCACAAACAGATCCGTGGTGGTTCAGAGGGCTGCCTGTCCACCGGGTGCAGGGGAGGTCATGTGATGAGAGGTATCTGGCTCCAGCACTAACACAGACTGGCCCATTAACACACAGACAGACTGCCCCCTTCCCCCACCCCCCCCCCCACACACACAAACTGACACATACACACTGACTGACCCATACATGCACAGACTGGCCCACAAACACAGACTGACCCATACACAGACTTACCTATATACAGACACAGAGAGTGACCTTTACATATACACACTCAGACTGACCTATGTACATACAGACTGACCTATACACACAGAGCGACTGACCAATACATACACACACACACAGATTGACATAGAAACACAGACACAGGCCCCCTCTAGTGCTCTGGGCCCCAGTGCAGTCACACCGGCTGCAACAGCGGTAGTTCCACCAATGATTATATTAACAATTTTTTATGCTATGTTAAGTATAGATAATAAACTGTTGGACCAGGTATAAAATATAGCTGTTTAAATACTAGGGAGTAGTGATGTCCCGAACTGTTCGCCACGGACTCATCATTGAGTAAACTTTGACCCTGTACCTCACAGTCAGCAGAGACATTCCAGCCAATCAGCAGAAGACCCTCCCTCCCAGACCCTCCCACCTACTGGACAGCATCCATTGTGAAGCTGCATTCTTAGTGAGCTGTCCAGGAGGTGGGAGGGTCTGCGAGGGAGGGTCTGCTGCTGATTGGCTGGAATGTGTCTGCTGACTGTGAGGTACAGGGTCAAAGTTTACTCAATGATGAGTCCGTGGCGAACCGTTCGTGGCGAACCATTCGGCGAACAGTTCGGGACATCACTACTAGGGAGCTATCTGAATAACGTTACTCCATATATATGAAAATAGAAAAAGGAAAAGAAAATAACAGGTAGCAAAAATATTATAATACTCATTGGTAGTAATAATTTCTGGACACCTGGGAGTTTGTTAGGCTTGTAATGCCAGGTGGTAATAATTGATGGACCCCGGGAGTTTGTTAGGCTTGTTGCGGTCATTGTGAGTGGTAAAATAAAGTCACTGCTCGGGTGGATGAGGGCTCTGAGCAAAGCGGGGTGTGAACCCCAGGATTTTAGAGATATCCAAGTGGAACAGGCCTGCCCCAATGACTCAAGGAGGTCAAGTGTGCATAAGTGTGTCTCCAACTCTTGATAGCTCTGCGCTGTGTGGATATTTCCTTGGTGAATAAATAGGAGCACTCTCAGTATCCTCCATCTATAAGGAATGTCCCTGGTAAGGAGGTCCTGTAAGAGGGGTCTCAGGGACCTGTTCTAGGTAAGAGAGTTCCTCATTAGATCCTGAAACATCAGGAGTGCTTCTAAAGTTAATCTGTTTTTTCCCTTCATGCAGTGAGGTGTAGAGCCTTGTCCTTAAATCGATTGTAATCAAATAATGAGGTCTGAAGTTGCGGATGGTGGCGTGTTCGACAGTTTTGGCAAGCAATATAATGATATTTTAAAATTTTGGCTTCTTAAAAGTTGCTTAATGAAGTGCAGTAGGTCGATTTGACCCAATTTCTCTGGTATACCCCTAATCTTTAAATTGTATGTATTCTCTGATCCTCAAGTTTCTACTCTACCGAGGACAGCCTGGAATCATGAGTACTAGTAGAGGCATCCAGCAGAGTGATCCTCGTGGTGGCTTTCTCTATGGTGTCCTTAAAGTGGGCTATGTCCACTGCAATGTTTCAGCCAACTTATTTTTCTTCAGGGCAGATGTGACCAGTTCCCAGTCCTCTGGTGCAATGGATTTAGCCCCTGGCAACAAGCCGAATGAGGCACCCTCTCCCGGCTTGAAGTAGATATCTTCTGAAGAGGATCCTTGGTCCTGCTGCATCATATTGTCCCATGCTCAGGAGAAGGTCCTGTCAGGGTACCTGTTGGTGCTGAATCCAGGGAAGACATCCTCTCTGTTTAGGGGCTCCCTGTCCCTAGCATTTCGGCATATTCCGGCCGTTTTCGCGCCGGCCGCGCTAGCTCCTCCCCCTTTTATGACGCGACGGCTAGCGTCGACGTCATGACGTCGGCATTTACATGAAGTGCCGGGAACCGCTATTCCGGACCTTTTGGGGGCGTGGTCCCTATTTAGGTAACAGGGTATTTAAAGGAAACCTTTACTACTGCTCATTGCCCTGTCGTGGTTCTAGCTTGCTAGTCACTCAGCGCGTTCTTTATCTTGTGTTTCTGGTTTTGACCCTTGCTTGTCTTTTGTCCTGTTGTCCTCTCCTCTCCTTTGACTCGGCTTGTATCTCGCTTACCTGTCCTCCGGCTCCCTCGACCTCGGCTTACCTTTTGACTATTCTTGCTTTGTCCCTACGTTAGTCCGGCCATTCTAAGGTCCGGTATACGTACCTCCTTCTGTCCGCACTCTGCGTATTGGATCCCTATCAGTATCCTGACATTACGACAGGGCCAAATGGATCCTGCAGGTGCTAGTCCTCCTGACCCCAGATTTGAGGCCATGGACCATAGAATGGACCAAATGGCTTTAGCATTACAAACTTTGTTAACACGCTCCAGCACTCAGTCTGAAGAAATACGTTCCACTGCTAGCCACTCGCTAAGTACTGGTTTGGAAGTAGCCACTGTAGGCGCATCTTCCCATGTCACTTCACCGTTACGATATGGGGGTTCGCCTGATGCTTGTCATGGTTTTTTAAACCAGATAAGCATACATTTCGAACTTCAACCCCGGGCTTACCCTACTGACAGGGCTAAAGTAGGCTTTATTATAACCCTGCTAATAGATAAAGCACTTAGATGGGCCAATCCCCTTTGGGAGAATGACAATCCTTTAGTCTACAACTACACTGCTTTTGTCACGGCTTTTAGAAGAACCTTTGACCCCCCAGGAAGGAAGATTAATGCGGCCAGATCCCTGTTACGCCTTAAACAACAGAATAGGACCCTTGTAGAATATGCTCTAGAGTTTAGATCATTGGCAGCAGAAGTGAAATGGAACGAACAAGCTTTTATGGATGTATTCTTGAATGGGTTGTCTGATGAAATTCTAGATGAGATTGCCACAAGAGAACTTCCGGAAAATTTAGAGGATTTAGTATCCTTCATTTCCAGAATAGATGAACGCATGAGACAGAGGCAGAACACTCGGGAAAGAGTTACTAGACTTCCTGTAAGACTCGCTCCCTCATTTCAGAACCCTGACTCCTATAATCCTACTCCACCAGAACCTATGCAAATAGGTAATACTCGCTTATCTGAGGCTGAGAGACAGTACAGAAGAAGGGAGGGTCTCTGTTTATACTGCGGGCTGAGAGGTCACCTACGTCTTAGTTGCCCTAATCGTCCGGGAAACGCTCGCACCTAAGTTCCCTTAGAGGACGGGCCTTGGGTGTTTCATTACTGTCCTCTATGCATAATAAAAAAGACCATAGGCTTCTGATTCCTGTCTCTCTAGCTTGGGAAAAGGGGTTTATTTCTACGATGGCATTATTAGATTCTGGAGCAGCAGAAAGCTTTATAGACCAAACTTTCGCTAATAAGCATGGTATCCCAGTCCAATTGAGAGATACACCTTTGGCCGTTGAGGCCATAGATGGTAGACCTTTATCTGAACCAGTAATATTCCATGAGACCAAACCCGTTAAGCTTACTGTTGGTATTTTCCACGAGGAGTTGATTTCCCTTCTGTTAATTTCCTCCCCGGCAGTCCCAGTGGTGCTAGGATATTCTTGGCTCAAGAGACACAACCCTCAGATTGACTGGGAGGGTGGAGAAATCGTTTCTTGGGGTATGGGTTGTAGGAAAGAATGTCTGCAGAGAGTTACTTCTGTTTGCCCCGTAAACTCTTATGCTAACACTTCCCAATCCACAGACGTTCAGATACCATTACAATATCTAGACCTCAAATCTGTATTTGACAAGGGTAAGGCGGATACTTTACCTCCCCACCGGTCTTATGACTGTTCTATTAAACTTTTCCCTGGTACTATGCCTCCCAGGGGTACGGTATACCCTCTATCCACCAAGGAAAACTTAGTTTTAGAGGAATACATCAAGGAGAATTTAGACAAAGGATTTATTAGAAAGTCTTCTTCTCCGGCGGGGGCGGGTTTCTTTTTTGTAGAAAAGAAAGACGGTACCTTACGTCCTTGTATAGACTATCGGGGATTGAACAGAATTACTATCAGGAATGCTTACCCTATTCCTTTGATTACTGAACTCTTTGACAGACTAAAGGGCTCGAGTATTTTTACCAAACTTGACTTGAGAGGAGCATATAACTTGGTGCGAATTAAACAAGGAGATGAATGGATGACAGCATTTAATACCCGTTACGGGCATTATGAGTATACCGTAATGCCGTTTGGGCTTTGTAACGCCCCGGCCGTCTTCCAAGACTTAATCAATGAGGTTCTTAGAGAATTCCAACATGAATGTGTAATTGTATATTTGGATGATATACTAATCCATTCTAGAGACATTAATTCACATCATAGACAAGTCAGAAAGGTATTACAGAAACTTTTACAACATGGATTGTATTGTAAATTGGAAAAATGTAGCTTTGACCAGTCTCAGGTAACTTTCTTAGGTTACGTAATTTCCAAAGACGGGTTTATGATGGACCCGACCAAACTAAAATCGATTTTAGATTGGCCTTTACCTAAGGGACTCAAAGCCATACAAAGATTTCTTGGATTTTCTAATTATTACAGACGTTTTATTAAAGGGTACTCCTCTGTTATCGCTCCTATCACTAATATGACCAAACAAGGAGCCGATACCAAAACCTGGTCTACTGAGGCTTTATCTGCTTTCGAAACGCTCAAACAGTCTTTTGCCTCAGCACCTGTATTAGTTCATCCTGATACCTCTCTACCCTTTTTACTTGAAGTTGATGCGTCTGAAACAGGGATAGGCGCAGTGTTGTCCCAAAGACAAAGTTTAGATAAGCCGCTGCACCCTTGCGGTTTTTTTTCCAAGAAACTATCACACACTGAAAGGAGATATGACATTGGTGATAGAGAACTGTTAGCTATCATTATGGCATTAAAGGAATGGAGACATTTGTTAGAGGGCACTGTCCTCCCAGTTACTATCTTAACTGACCACAAAAATTTATCGTATATAGGGGAGGCCAAAAGATTATCTGCCAGGCAGGCACGTTGGTCTATGTTCCTTACACACTTTAATTATATGCTTACTTACAGGCCTGGTTCTAAGAACACTAAGGCAGACGCTTTGTCACGTCAGCACGAACCTATCACCTCTACAGAGGACACTTTGTTCCCTATTATTCCTGAAGTCAATATTATCGCCAACACCAATGTCAAAATACACTCTCCATTGCTCGCTGATATTATGAGCGAACAATCTCTTGCTCCCGAACGTACTCCTGTGGGCCGCTTGTTCGTGTCTCCCAAATTCCAAGTGGACATTATTCGCTGTTTTCACGATAGCAAGTTCGCTGGTCACCCCGGCATCCACAAAACTTACTGCCTGATCTCCAAAGACTTCTGGTGGCCTGGTTTACGTAGGGATGTGGAAGACTTTGTCAAGGCTTGCAATGTTTGTGTCAGGAATAAACTTCCGCAGGATCTCCCTTGTGGTTTATTGCAGCCCTTAGTCGTTCCCAACAAACCTTGGGCTTGTTTGGCTATGGATTTTATTGTTGATCTACCAGCTTCCAGTAGGCATACGGTTATTCTCAAGGTCCTTGACAGGTTTACTAAAATGGCTCATTTCATTCCCTTGCCTAAACTTCCGTCCTCTCCTGAACTGGCCGTGATTTTTGCTAGAGAAATTTTCCGTTTACATGGTATTCCCAATGAGATTGTGTCAGACAGGGGTTCCCAATTTATTTCCCGTTTTTGGAGATCCTTCTGTTCACAGTTGGGCATCAAACTGAATTTTTCTTCGGCCTATCATCCTCAATCTAACGGAGCAGCCGAACGCACTAACCAAAAATTGAGCAATATCTACGTTGTTTTGTTTCTGAACACCAGGATGACTGGGTCGGTCTGATTCCTTGGGCGGAGTTTGCTCACAACAACCTTGTTTGTGGTTCCACTCATAATAGCCCCTTTTTCTTGAACTATGGCTTTAACCCTACTATTCTTCCGTCGGTGTCTCCTTCCCAGGGTATACCGTCGGTTGATATTCATATAGCCAACCTGAGAAAGTTGTGGGATCAGACTCGACAAATTCTTGAACGTAGTTCAGCGGTGTTTAAGTCACATGCTGATAGGCGTAGGCGGCCTGCTCCTATTTTTTCTCCGGGTGATAGGGTCTGGTTGTGTACCAGACACATTCGCCTGAAAGTTCCTTCCTTGAAGTTTGCTCCTCGCTACATTGGTCCTTACAGGGTGCTGAGGAGGATCAACCCGGTTTCTTATTTGCTGGATCTGCCTCCTACTCTACGCATCCCTAACTCTTTTCATGTGTCTTTATTGAAACCTCTTGTTTGTAACAGATTTTCCTCCCGCTCTGCTCCTCCATCCTCGGTCCATGTGGATGGTCAGGAGGAATATATCATCAAGTCCGTCCTTGATTCTCGTATTTCTAGGGGGAAGCTGCAATACCTCATAGACTGGAAAGGTTATGGTCCAGAAGAGAGGTCTTGGGTTCCTGGTATAGACGTGCATGCTCCTCGTCTTCTTCGGGCCTTCCACGTTCGTTTTCCTTCTAAGCCCGGTCCCATCCGCCCGGTGGGCGTTTCTAGAAGGGGGGGTACTGTCAGGGTACCTGTTGGTGCTGAATCCAGGGAAGACATCCTCTCTGTTTAGGGGCTCCCTGCCCCTAGCATTTCGGCATATTCCGGCCGTTTTCGCGCCGGCCG